AGATCCAGTTCCATGATCCCTTCTGCTAGATCCTCCTGAACAGAACATTACACTAGCTTCCATAAAGATGGAGACTCAGTTTCCGATACCAGCACTAACTATGGACTTCCTGTTCAAGTTTTCAACTCGGTGGGGCTTACTGTATTGGCTTTCCAGGTGCGACCGGGACATCCTTCTTCGATGCATCACCGTTTGGTTCGGTTCGATCGAGGAGTTTGAGCTTCGTGTGCGAAGGGAGGTTCAAGATGCTCTCCTCCGTCAACTTATGAAGGCAGCTGGCCACGCTTTAGAGTTTAGGGGTTTTGGGTTTAGGACCCTGCAATAAAGCCCGTATGGTCTGCAATAAAAGGTACCTGGGGTGTTCGGGGTGAGTTGGGGAGTCTAGCTGAAGGGTTTAGGCCGTTTAGGCGGTAGGGCCTTTAGGGCTTAGAGGTGCTTCGTTTCTTTGTTAATGCAGTTCCTGTGGATTTCCCTGAAAAGTAGATCAGGCTGTGTCCATGACTGCAGTCCGGCGTATTCATGCCACCCACACACACATGTCGAATGCATATATATATATATATACTTATGTATGTATATGTGTGTATATGTACATGTATCTATCTATCTATCTATCTATCTATATATATATATATATATATAGATGTATATGTATATATGTATGAACGTATGTACAAACAACATAGCCATGAAGAGCGACCACACCGCAAGCATGAAGTGGCGGTTCCAAAAGTCACATTACCTCACATGCCAGTGCCTTCCTCGAAGGCTCACGGCGTAGCACCATTGCATGAACTACTAGCGGACTTAACCAGTAGTAGAATTGAGTTAAAAGTATAATATTTAATTGGGGGGAGGTTTGTGGGTTCTCCTGATAGAGCATTCGTTTCGGCACTCCCAAGGGATCATGCCGGGTTGTTTTGTCTGGCACTCCCAGAACCATGCATGTTTTCCGGTTCACGGGTCAAAGGTTCGTGGAGTACACATCTTGTAGCAACATGAATCTATTTGGGCAGTTGCGCGTTTATGGCTGTGCTTATGTAAATGCCGCGAGCGAAACCCTCGTCGTGCCTGAAGGAATATGGAGTCGGAAAGGTTGCCAATGCTATTCCTTGGGAAAGTTTATAATGCGCTTTCCCGGCCATGTTCTGATGGTCAGGGCTCCTATACTAATGCCTAAACCAAGGAAGCTTTCTCATACTCCCGCATGGTACAGCTGAATGCCCCAGTGCTGTGGTTTTTCCTTGACCGCAGCTTCACCTATGAGACAGACGATGAGCGGATTGCCGGCGCAGTCCAGGCGTTTACGCATTGGCTGGTTATCGGGCCGGCTTTGGCCCAAATTGGTTTCTGGATCGTCTTTCATCTGCGAAGCCGATACTGTAAAGGATGCCTAGATGTCCTGGTTTCGGTGATTGCAGTGGTGATCTTTGCCGTGGTGATGACCCTCATCGCATCGCTGGAGAACGATGTAGTGCCGAGGCTGCACCGGCTGTAATCTGTTTTGGCTGAATGGAGGTTTCGAAAACAAAGGGCCCCAATACCGACCCCGCAAAAAGGGATCCTCAATATGAGCATCAATACAAAGGAACCTCCAGCGTATATAAGTTGGACTAGACACCTTCCGCTCGTGAACGATTCAACAGATGTCGGACAAACTCTCTGGTGTGCTAGGCTGGGACATGCCTTTCCTTGAGGGCAAGGCATGATCATGAACTTCGGAAGTGTAGCTTTGTTGCGCCAGAGGTGCAGCAACTACTGCTGATGGACAAAATCCTGCATTACTCATGATCAGAATATACCATAGTTCCCATAGTTTAGAGTCCTTCGGGTCATGCAGGATTTTGTCCATCAACAGTACCACTAGGTTGTCTTTGCACAGCGTACATATCTTGGGATCTTATGCCGCTCCATATAACCTGTGGAAATGGCTCCGTGGGCTGCCCTATACCTATGGTCCACGTTTTTAAGAGCCAACCGGGTTGTGCTTTGGGATAATTTTTAATTTCCCTGATTTTCTTAGAAAGGGAACCTATGTATAAATGATTTTCAAAGGGTTTAAAGCACTACCCAGGTCAAGCAATGATGTAAACAGCAATCTCGAGCTATTTCCCTATCCTATCAACCTTCAATTGGGTCACTTCCCGTGACAGTACCAGACTCTTTGCATAGAAAATAGAAGATCCTCACTACGCCTACGTACACTAATCCCTCCTTTCTTATACGAGTGCAAGTGCTGCTGGACGGGGTGAACTTTTTGGGTTTCGTGCCTGTGAGGATGGCTCAGTTTAACCCAATCCTGAAGCAAAAACCTTGTCAGAGAAAAAGCCCAGATGGCCGTGTTCTTTCAGTCGCCAAGGTCTACGGGTACACCCCGAACCGGCTCAGTGGATCACTTCTGTACCTGGGCATCACGGCCATCGCGCCTGACCTTGCAAGCAGGTTAAGTTGGAGGCTTAGTGTTTATAATAGGGGCTCAGGGTTTAGTGTTTGGGATTGTTTTTTGGTGTTTTTTTACCATTGAGGGGTTCATTTCAGTGTTTTAAATTTCTTGGTGTAATTATGTGGTTTTTGTAGTCAGTGGACAGAGGAGCCACACCAGGACAAAACCCTGAAAACATGATCTTATCCAAGCGCTTGGTTGCACTGCCTCTTCTTGGACCTTTTGCTTTGTGACTTGTGATGGAAATAAATCGTGGTAGAATCCAGCAAAAAACTTTCAAACCAAAACAACTGAGGGAAGGACCTATGTTAGAGGGTCGAGGTGTGGTACAACGTGTTCCTGGTTGCAATCACGAGTCCAGGTGGCGGCGGTTCTATTTCAATGTGCTCCTTTCCAGCAGCGGCCTATGGTACAAAGGCAAGCACCAGATTTTGGGCACAATTATTCTCCTGATATGGCCGAAAGGATAGGTTCGGATCCTCTTGAGCCTACAACCGCAGGTCGTGAGACTAGCGGGAAGTAGACTTGATCTCAATTTGGCAGGCCAGCATCGGAAAATTTAAGAATCGAAATCAGAGGACCTTGTCAATCTGGAAACCTAACCCCTGCCTAACCCCCAAACTGCTGAGCTTTGAGTTGTCCATCGCGCCGATGTCCCAAATTGACCTGCTTTTTAAAAAAGAAGCCTCTTCGAAGAAGACTGCTTGTCACCAACCATGCAAGGCAATGGTCCTAATGTCCTCATGCAAGGGCCTGGACAAAATTAGTCACATTATTTCTCCTTCATACCCTTTGCCGGGCGCGGAGACTCCAGAACCCCTGAACTAAGCAAGACACCTAGCTCGGATTCACAATCCCTCGTTACTTCGAGGTAGATTGCTCAATCCAGAAAGCCTAAACCCTAAACCCTAACATACCCGCTGCCTAAACCCTGAACCGTAGAAAAGGAGCGGAAAAATACACAAACCATTCAGGGGATTGGGAGTCTCTGTGAAGTGTTTGAAGCCTATGCCGGCATGGAAGTCTCCTCCTGGCAGCCTGCCGAAAACTTACAGGTACTTAGAAATACTTTTTAACTTTTTGGTTATTATAATCCGTAAGATACAGCTAAAATTATAATTTTGCTAGGGTTCTAAGTTCAGTACAGAAAAGAGGAGGGAACTTTGGACTTCAGGGGCGCTGTAGCTCATCGGGCTTGTGCAGAGAACAGGATTTAGGGTTTGTAGGGTTGTGTATGGTTCTTAGGGTTCGGCATAAGCTCCCAAAACTACAAAATGAGAAGAGTGAGAGGCAAGCGCAACAGCAGCTGATTGGATCTTGTTTCGTTTAGGTTTGTGGATCTCGAGGTCGGGGGCCTGCGAGTTGCATTGGGTTTAGGGTTTGGGGTTTAGGTAGCGTTCGGATATTAGAGTTCAGGGTGTGCTAGGGCACAAATATTCTTGATGTAGGTGCCTGCGCCTTTTTGGGAAAGCCAAAGGTCTTCGAAAGGATCTGATGTGCGTTCACCCTTGGGGGGTGTCAGAACTAAACTTTGGAGGTTAGGTTCAGGATTTAGGATTAGAGTTTCGGTTCGGGCATGAGGAGAGCATAGCAGTCGAAGGTGTATCGGGCTGTTTACTTTCGTGAGCGTCCTTTTCATCATCGCAGCCTAGGCTTGAAGAATTTCAGTGTCTCTGCGATGACTGACCCCCTCCGCCCTTGCTGGTGATTGTTGCGTTCAGTGGCCACCCTGCCACAGCCCACCGCCCTCCTGGAAAACAAAGGCTAGGCCCCGGAGTAGGCCCTTATTCCCTTTTTTAGGGTTTAGGTTCTCTTATAACCCTCTTTAACCCAAAAAGGGCGCCCTTTTTATTCCTAGGTTACTCTTAGGCCTAGAAGGAAACCAGGTTCCACACGTGCCCTTGCCCCTGCATTCGAGGACGCTTCCGCCCCTGAATACACCAATACACCTCGTTCCGAAGAGGTCTCACAACTCTTCGACACTTAACCCCCTGACCCAACCCTAAACCCTAAACCCTCATCATGAAGAAGACTTCTACTTCATGCCATGGCTCGGTCCTCACGTCTTGCCACAAGCATCGGCGATGGTTGTCTTTCTCAGCTTACAGCAAATCCTGACAGCCGGCTGCACTCGGTCCACACTGAGAGCTCTGCACTCATAGGTTGGCCAGATAATTTCAAACACCGAGCTTGTGAACATGTAACTCGAGTATAGCTATGTTCGTATTATGAGGGAAATATTTGTCATGATGCCCTTCAAGCCCGATAGACAAGCAGATACAACTCTCATAAAGTCATAAAGCCTCTGTAAGCCCGTTCCGACAAAAAACACATGGAACCCTTGAAATTCCCATGTCAAGTGAAACATCCTGCTATCGGATATCTTGATCACCCCGGTCTCACTTGTCATAGGGACCCTTACAGGGTTAAGGGGGGGGGTGCGAGAGTATACTTCCCTAAATAGGTCTTATTATTAGGTCGTTATCATGGGCATTAAGGCCCCCTACCCCCCCGCCCCCTCCCCCTATCCGCTTAAGGCTTCCTATGTACTTGGCAGGACAGGTGGGCAATGGAGTGAGGATGAGTTCATCAGGACCTGCGGGAGAGAGGGTTCCGAAGCCCTGATCTGGGCCTTCAGTGACTACGGGTTTAGGGTTTAGGGTTTCTATTTAGGGTTTAGGGTTTCTAGGGTTCAGGGTTTCCACTTAATTAGGGTTTAGGGTTTCTATTTAGGGATTAGTAGGGTTTGGGGTTTTAGGGTTTAAAACTGAAAATTAGGAAGAAGGGTACCCTTATCATTGAGGGCTTAGACAGGAAGCTAGATGATTAGAGTCGGGGTGACGCTCAGATTACACAGGGGCCAAAGGGGCATCAGCTTTCTTTCTTTACTAGGTTACCAGTTATCCCGAGACGTTCCACAATGCACATAGCGATCAGGGGCTGTTTCAGATTGTGTAAGGTGTGAAATGTGGGTTTTGGGTACTGCCCCCACTCAGTAGCAGTTGGAGAATATTCATAATATAGATATATTAGGATCTGAATAGTAGCCCTAGTAAGCCCTGGTATAGACTGTTATTGTTTCGGGGGCATTACCCAATGTGGGTTAACGATGAACTGCTTCATAAGGGTTTTACAAAGCTTTGGGAGGCTGTCAGAGAAGGCAAGGCATGGTCCAAGGTACCTGTGAGGTTTAGGGTCAGGATTTAGGGTTTAGGGTTGAGGATTTCGGGTTTAGTTTAGGGTTGAGGATTTCGGGATTAGGGTTGAGGATTTAGGGTTTAGGGTTGAGGATTTCGGGTTTAGGGTTGAGGATTTAGGGTTTCGGGTCAAAGGTACCTATGAATCGGGTACTTGGGTTTAGGACGATGGTCTCTCTCCTTGTCCTTGGGTAGGGAATGGGTGCGTCCCGATGGTGGTTCCTTATAGAGTCCCTATAATAACCCTTCCCCTACTACCCCGGGAGGATCTAGAAAGTAGATCCTGTAATTTGGGGCCCTATACTACTAAGGGTATTTTATAGGAACCCCATCAAGGGATCTACTTTTTGGATCCTCCCAGCACCCTGGGTAGGAACCAGGCACCAACGGGTCGAAATACGAGTTCTGCAGGCACAATGTACTCCACGAAGAAATCCTCGGCGGTCGGGGCCTGATCTTTCGAAGGGCGACGGTCTTCCACTGAGTCTGAGATGTAGGCATCACTCAAACCCTAGACCGTAAACACTCGGTCTGCGTAGAAATCTGTACTTCGAGCACAAGTATGTTCTTCGGTTTGATCAGTTAACCCGACATCGCGTAGCATCCTGCCCCGATCGAAATGTCTACTTCCTGTACTTATAGCAGGTTGGTCACGGTTTCGCAGCAGCACGAAGCTTTCTGCACAATTTCAATCTGGTTCATGAACAATGTTGGAACTGTGATTGCCCACATGTTTGAGGTTGAGTTCAGAACCCTGCGTACCGCAACATCCTAAAGCCTTAGGCCTCACTCCGCTAAAAGAAACAGATCGTTCAACATCATAGCCCTCAACACGTAGCGTCGGGTTTTTGGCTGGTACATAGCAGTCAAATCATGGTAAGCTATGAAAGGGATCTGAATACTTTGCGGGCCAATACTGCCTGGAGTCTCATATGCATGGTTTGCCGCTTGCCGGTGTACGTGTTGCCGAGAGTACCCAAGGTATTGCAAAGCCGGGAGAGAGAGAGAGAGAGAGAGAGAGAGAGAGAGAGAGAGAGAGAGAGAGAGGGGGGGAGAGAGCGAGGGAGAGGGAGGGAGAGGGAGGGAGAGGGAGGGAGGGAGAAACATTTTCGAGTACTATCAACTACGTGACTATGTTCGTGTCATCAGTTTTCCCACAGCAAGCCCGTTGATTCTCTTGAGGCTTTAGGTTCAGGGTGTCGGCCTGACAGATTGTGTGGTTGTGCTCTGACAGTCTCTATGCCCAGTGGATCGTTCAAGGTTCAGGATGTGGATGGTTTTCGCTTGTGGGCTGAGGATTTATGGTCTTGTCGAATCCACAACCCTGACATGTTAATTTGGGGCTTTTTTTTTGTGATGTCACACAGTGGACTTGCTTCACCGTGCCGATGCCGAGGACAACCGTCAGCGTGCAGTCATCGCCATCACTATTACAATCATCGTCATCATCCTCATCATTATCTTCATCTTCATCATCGTCATCATCATCATAACTGCTACCGTTACCATCGCCATCATCATTGTCTTGGTCATCATCATCATCGTCATCATCTGCAGCATCGTCATGCTCGTCGTCATCGTCATCAACATCAACATTATCATCATCCTCTTCATCAGCACCATCACGATCGCAACCATCAGCATCAGTATCAGCGTCATCAGAATCACCAACAGCCCAAGATCTCGAGCTTGAATGTGGCGATGCACAGATACCTGAAGAAGCGAAGCACGATCGTATGCCGGACGGTTGCAGGGTTGCAACAGATTTTTGTGGGTGTGGGACGTGGTTAGCAGTTTTAACATATAGATGCGTATGTTTGAGATTGCAGTCTGCCCCTCCCTACCTGAAGTACGTGCGATCCCAGAAACATGTCGGAGTACTTTGAATTGTCTGTCGTGTGCTGCAGTATATACTTGATGTTGTGCTGCAGACGTAGGGTTTCGAGGTCCCATTCGGGGCACGAGGTGAGGATCAGCCCCGTGTAGCTACAGAAGGAAACTTGAAACCTCCCAGCACGAGCCCACGTTGGGACCACACCCTAACTAACGGGCTGCGTAGGCAACCTGTAATCTTTTGGGGCTTTTTAACCCGACTACGTTCTAACGGTTAACCTTTTTAGGCGAGGGTACTCAGCTTCGAAGCTAAACTCTAAACTGAGATGGAAGAATGCCGGATTTTGCCTTCAGGGTTTCCACCCGAAGGTAACCACATCAAGTGGCAGCGACGAAGCTCGGTGCTTACAACACGTTTGTGTTAAGCAATGGGTTGTAGTGTAGCCGTGGTCCGAAACCCTAGGCAGCTCTAAACGTCAAGCCCCATCCGCAACCTAAGTCCCCATAGACCCCTAGAGCCCCCAAAAATCGTCCTTAACTAAACAAGGAATATGCCTTAATCAACAGAGGCCTTAGTGAAATCATTTAAGCTCTGTTCTGTATTCAGGGGATAATAGGCGCTGGGTCGCTTCGGACTTATCGGTACGCAAAAAGCGTAGATATTCAGGACTCCGTTTTTTTTTTTTTTTTTTTTTTTTTTGTGGTTCGCTTCCGTGTTCGGGTTTAGGACTTGAGCCTGAGCCCTGAGAGTCGATCCTTAATCGAGGGTGCTTATGTGACAAAATGGGAGTTTCCGAAAATAGGGGACCCGAATATAGTACCCTAAATAGTAGGATCCTTATTATAAGGACCCCCAAATAAGGTGCCCCTAATTTTCGGAAACTCCCAAATGAAGGGCGTGATTTAGGGGGAGCAGGCGGACGAACTCCCAGTCGGACGACTCGTCCATTAGACCGAACAACAACATGCGGTATTCAAAAGAGCGGGCTTTGATACAAGCTGGAAGCCTTTGTCGCATCTAGCCTCTATCATCGGGGCTTATGACACGGGGACGACCCGAGCCGCCACACAGCTTACAGGGCTCTACGGCCTCAACAGCAGTCTCCAAAGCCTCGCTCTCAGGAAAGAAGTACCGGGCTCGCTTGCAGATGGCCCTCGTGCCAAAGCAACTAGCTTCCAACACACGGAAGGGAACTGACTGACAAAACGAAGAACCGCAAGAACTTGGCTTTGAAAGTCGAAGAGGTTTCCTTCAGGGTCCTAGTAGCATCGTATATACATTGCCCTTCAACTCTGCAGGTACATGGACCCTTGGGAATTTAGCTTTCAATTGTCACGCCGCCGATGTCTTGCGGGGTCAGGTCAGGGTTCAGGGACAACCGGTTACGGAGACGGAGAGCTCTTGCCACTCTTCGGCCCTGAACCCCAAAGCCCTAACTTCAAAGGCGAAAAGGAGGGACCCTTAATGGGGACCCCTAATTACCCTACAATGGGCTATATAATGGGTATACAATGGCTATATGAAGGGTATATACCTAGGGGTCCTTGTTAAGCGTCCCTCCTTTTACCCTTGGATAACTAATCCCCAGACCCCTAACCCCTAAACCCTACCGCATCAAGTCCCTGTTGACCCGAGGCACTGGAGAATGCGTGCAGGAAAAGTTCGGGAAAGAACATTTCCCACAGGTGCCGGGTTTAGGGTTCAGAGGTTTAGGGGTTCTGTCTGTAAGACAGAAATATTTCGACTTGACGGGTGGGTGAGCTCCCTATCTATATGTGTATATATAGGCAGTTTTGCTTGATTGATCATTCAAGCATAAGCTTCAATATGCATTTGCAAGGAGGGTGCCTGCACTGGGTCAGCAGAGATGTGAATCCTCCTTACGATTTCATGTGCAGGCGTTCTGGTTTTGGGTAGGCAAGATGTTTTGTATTCTGAAGGGCTGCGATTTCTCGTAAATCCGAATCGCCCTGAGCCCGAAGCCTAAGCCCTAATTGTCCAAACTCAATATTCAACCCTATGCCCTAAAAACTTAAGCCCTAAACAGTGAACCCCAATCATCCCAAACCGCCCGAAACCCATAGCCCAACACCCACAACTTAAACCTAGACCTTAATCCTAAACTCCCCGTTTGTGTGCTTTTCGGGTAGTCGGCCTGGGCGAAGTTGAGCCCGCCTTGTTTCAACTGGGACCCAGAGTAGGCCCCTTTTCTTGTTGTTTAGGGTTTAGGCTCTCTTATACCCCTTGAACCCAAAAAGGGCACCCTGTATTCCTAGGTTAGTCTTGGGTCTCAACTCAGACGCCAGGCCTTTGCCTTAGGGTTCTTTGTTGCAGGGATCTGCAAGGACTACTTGGAGGCTGACTATGCGGGTTACTATGAGGGTTGCTATATTTCAGGGTTTACACTTGGAGAATGAATAAATACTCAGTCTATCCCTCAGGCTTCCTGATTTTTTCAATACTCATTCTATCCCTTAGGGTTCCTTAATATAATGTCGTTCAAGTATCATATACACAAGATTTGTTCTAACTGAATCAAGACTCTTATGTAACAATAACAACAGGCCCAGAACGGGAACACCAGCCAGCGCCAAGAGAACTTCCATAATGTACGGCAACAGGTTACAAGATACGATAGCAATTACGGTCGTACGATAGAACATCTTAACATACACCACGCACGATAAGATACGAGAATGTACTGTGCTTTACTGCATCCTCTGACTTACTACGACCAAGTATACTTTGCTATACCATCTCTGCTGATGCGTGGCTGAGTCGGTGCTGCCCACTGTGCTGTAGCCTTTTTGATAAGATCCGGTATTCAAGGGTGCTAGGAATCCTTAGGGAACCATGGGGAGTACTATTTAGTGAGAGTTGGGACTCAATAGGTTTATCCCTGCCCCCTCTTGGACCCCTCCCTTTAAGGGTCCCTAAAAAGATCCTCCAAAGGAACCCATAAAAGAAGGATCCCACAACTCTTTGCTGGTGGAGGCATAATCTCCACACAGTCCCAGGATCAAACCCTCGAAAACGCCAGATCTAACACTCAGGCTTGAACCCTCGGCCCACCACCTTAGAGTGTAGTATTTGGCGTCTAGATAGGTTTTTGGGGTTATGGTTTGGGCTGTCGGGTTTACCGTGCACGATCTAGGGTCTAGGGTGGTGCGAAACCCTAAACCGTCGCATGGCAGCAGGCGCAGACTGCGCACTGCAAAGCTTCTTGTACGCGTTCTGAATCGTCGCAGCAGGCACACCATGCGTGAGTCAGGGAGGTTGGCCACAAGACACTATGGTTCAGGATTTACTTAGGTTTGGGCCTCTAAGCCGAACCGCAATCTCTAAATCCTAATTACCCCAGAAGCCTTGTGAATTCAGGATAGCTCCGACCCACATGGTGGATCTTCATGGTCTTGCGCACTGAACTGTACACTTGCCAACTGCAAAAACCTCGATGAGTGCCCTTAAGCAAAGTCTGACTCCAGAGCTCACATCGTGGAACCCCCCCGCCCCGAGGCTTTCACGCAATCTCCCGCCCCCTAATTCAGCCTTCCGGACTCGCAGGGCACAAGGCACTCCCAATAATCCAAACAACCAGGCAGAACACAATCCGAGAGCCAAAGCAACTCACCACAAACCCAACTCAGCATCCCCAACAGACCAATTATTACCCTTATCCCGTCTTTAGCTAGTAATTAATCTAAACAGCTGTTTTCATCTAAGTGAATTGGTTTTCGGTTAGCGATCTAATAGGAAGTTTCTCCTAATTGTGTATTCCTTAGCTGGGAGATGTCATCTGCGTAGGTTTTTCTGGCTTAATATGCTCCTGACCCACTGAAGTGTGTACCTATGTGACTAATGTGTGATACTTTAGGACAAACGAGATGTGACATTATCGTTTAGAGCAGTATCTAACGTTACCACATCCGCTCGCAACATAGCAGCAAGTTGTCATAATGTTGCGTCCCCATCATTAAGTATGCACCTCCTCGCTCACCATCAATAATAGTAGCACTGGATGCATTTACTCCCTTATTAACTGGTTCTCAGTTCTGGGAATATCGCTTACTTCAACTTATAATGCGGCATGACGGCCTGGAAGATGATAACTACATCGTCTTATATGGTGTCATATTGCATTATTCATTTATCATCATTATTAGTCTTGGTGTTATTGTTAGTACAGTACAACTTGGAAGATAAGAAAATGCGCTATTTATGCCACGTTTTGTGAAAGTTGTATACATGCAACAATGATGAAAATGTTTTTGGTGTTGACTGTAGCTGTTGTGCCGCATCAGCTCACTCCCGACACCTGCTGCTCTATAATGGTTTTGCTGCTTCGTTGTTTTTTCGTGAGTGTTAAGCTGCGCAATAGCTGTTGCGATATCTGTGTCCGTTGAGCCAGACGAGCTAAGCCCCAATGCTCAAATGGCCGCAAGCTGTGCTCTCTGCCGCTTACAGCATTGGAATAGTCTTGAAACGAGGACTTGATTATTTTGGTTGAAAAGGCATGGTCTGAAGATGACTCATTCAGGCACGTCCCCCGCATAACTACAAGACCTGCATTTCAACTGGTTTTCTTGAACTTCCAGGACTCTAGTCTCTATAGTAGATGCCCCAAAGGCTGTAAACCTTCGCCCGTGGATTTTGAGCTACAGGTGAGATGACAGCATGCAGCTTTGCCCGTGTTTGCGCAATAGTGCCGTTCTTTGCTCTCTGGTCCGTCGACATGCGACAACCTTCTGGCGTGCAGAGCATGCTGACACCGCGTTATACTGAGAGGCAGAGAGGCGCAGAAGAAGTGAATTGGGTAAAAAGACATGGTCTGCAGCTGGGGGTACAATATCAGCCAAAGTGGAGCAAATCGTCTGACTCATACCAGCAAAAAGTTTTCGAAAGGAACCTAATGCTTATTGTGGAAAGTTTTAACAACATAACCTACCAGGGTCAGAAGTTTCCTGATCTTTACCAGCTCGACGACGCAGTCCGCGAAGGCCTTCAGCATGCATGCGAGGATGCTCTTGGCCGCGATATTGTTTTGCAATATATTGGGTCTCGAGCGAAAGCATCAGCTTCAGTAACCTCCCCAGATCTCGACGTAGACATTCAAGTTGCGAGGAAAGGCCGGCGTGCCAAGGTACCCTTTACAAACATGGACATGAGGAAGGTTGCGGAGAGCCTGAAGAAATTGGATTTTGTGTCAGGCGTCCAAATCGGCAGCATAGCAATTAAATTCCGCATTTTGGGAACAATTCCGTGTGATCTTGTGCTGCGGAGGGAGAGGCCTGAAATGTTTTGTGGGTTGCGTGAGGGGAATAATTTCAGCCAGAATTGTGCTCGCATCAACTCCTTCTTGGAGTGGCCTCCAGCAAGGGCTGCTGCTTGTGGCCTCAGATATTATCTGCCAAAGGAGTCTCGACCGAAAGGAATATTGGTTGACACAATCACATGGCGAGTGGCAAGGCAATACTTGGGCGAAATAGGCCGCTTTCCCGTAAAGTGGCAGGCCTTCAAGTTATTCCAACTAGTTATGATGGAGCTGACGAGACTGGGCTCTTGTTAATGAGTTTATTTGAAGTTACCATAGTACGGATCTATAGTAAATTGGAACCGTAATTTAAATCCGTCAACAAGAACCCAGGAGACCTTGGCAGGACTCATTCTTTGGGGCCGACCTGGAGCTTGATCTGAGAATGATGGAACCCCGGGAGCGGCAAAAGTACGAACCAGGATTGAACTTTGTGGCCAACCTCGACCCATGCAAGCACATCTATTTCATTTTGGCATATTCCCTTTGCGATACAGTGGGTCGGCAATATAGTGAGGTTATTTTTGACAAGAAGTCATTCGCGACCAGAAAGCACGAAATTCGGGACCGGATGGAAGGACTCTTTAGGCAAGCGTTCTTTGGCAAGAGCTGAACTCTGGGACGTGCCTCCAGCCAAATGCAACGAAAAGAAGCTTGAGATTCAGGGCTTTAGGGGCTTCGGTTTTCTGGCATGGTTTCAAGATGTTTCCCATGGATCGCAAGAGCTTACAGAACGGAGGGACCTAACACTGACAATCACTCGGCATGTAGATGTCAGTAGGTGTAATTATGCCAGCGGAATTTGCAAATGCACAGGTGTAAACGCAACAATTGGCAGCCAGTAACAGGTCAGCTGTCATGAATGTCAAACATCGCCTGTGATCGCGCGACCCAGTTTATTTCAGGGTTTGGTCATCGCTTCCCAGCTCAGGCGTTGCAACACTATCAGAAATACGGTCAAGGATGCGTGAGGTGATTCGTGCCTACCGGTGGGGATGTTTTTCGATGCAAGTTCTGAACGCGATGGTTGTGGGCTTGACTAAAGCTTGCGGTTGCCCGCTTTGTGTTCTCGATGGTTGGAAGGATTGTTTTCTTGGGCTGGTTGAGAAGCCCTGAAAGCGAAACAGGATGTGAGGTCTGGGGTCAGCCTTCTGTAGCCCTGGAGTGAGCTTTTCAAGCCCCAGCCCAGTCAAAGCATGCCTCTAAACCCTCAACCCAATACCCTGAATTCAGCAACGATCAACAGTACAAAGCTTAAACCCCACACCTGGACACCCCGAATCCTGAACCCACCCTTTACCCCGAATCCCCTAAGTCCTACCTGTCCTACCTCAACCCTCGAAAACCTATCTTTCTAAGGAGCGATGTACGGGGACCGCGAAATAAACTACCTTGTTAAGGGACTATAGTACTTCCAGAGGTAGGTTTTCATAGTTGATATGGGTGGGTAGATAGATAGATATAGTGAGTTCAAGATGTGGAGCCCGAAACCCTAAACCCTGAAGACGTAAGTTTTCTTGGACCATCCCCAGGCCAAAGCGGCCATCATGCCGGAGAGCCAGTGGAAAGGCCACGACGGATTTGGGTTCTAAATCGTTTTGGGTTTAAGGCTTAGGGTTTAGGGTTTAGAGGGTTTCGGAGTTAAGGTTTGGCAGCTGGGGTCAAAGGCGTATGGATTTAGAGGTTTACGGACTGGCTTGAGGGATGTTGGACGGCTCAGGGTTTAGGGATATGTGGGCTTGAGTGTCTTAGCAATTTTGGGATTTCTGGCTCAAGGTGCTGGGCGGGATTCGGACTGGAGGGTCAGGTTCAAGGCTGCATGGTGGAGTCGAGGGTGTGGCGGGGAGCTCATCCGTTTTCCCTAAACGAAATGCTGAAGAACACACAGCGAGCCAGTGGCCAGCTTCGGGGCAGAGGATTTCACTTGGGGCCCATCTATGAGGTTTGTCTAGCGGGGGTCGGGGCCTGAATAAGCTTTGGGATCCCCCCGCGGCACAAAAATAGAAAGCTGGAAGCGCCAGCAATTCTGCAAATCGAACCGTTTCGGCTATCCATGGAAGCTTCTCATGCAGGGATAGAAGCATCAGCATGAGACGCCGCTAACATGCAGTGGCTGTAGTAGCGACTCTCGTGTAAGGTACATTGCAATCTCTCCTTCCATAACCTCGCAACTGGCCAACTAAGTCCTTGCGCGCCCTCCCAAACGATCTACCCCTAATCTTGAATGCTCAGGTAATCCTCCGTGCAGACTAAGAGTACCTAGACCCTTAGATGTAGTACCGTTCCTTGGTTGACATCTTGTTAAGATTAGCATTTCATCTTAAAAGTTGAAACATAAGGTAACCAAAATCTCGTAGTACAGTTTAGGGCCTAGGCATATGTTAAAGCGTCAGGCGTAAGTCTACAACAAGTCTAGGATGATCTAGACGTCAGAATTAGAGTGCAAAGTTTTGAGAGTTTCGATTCTAGGGCATATATAGAGTCATACAGGTTAGGGTTGAGGGTTGATGTTTGAGGGTTTGGGATCTAACATCGCTCAGTGTTTGGAGTTTGCGGATCCCTTGGAGGTTTAGGTTGAGGGTTGATCCATCAAGGTTTCGGCTTCATGGGGTAACCGCACAAGACGAGATGATTTCGTTTTGAAGCATTGTCCCTGCTCAACCTATAGTCTCCATTGTAGTTCCTTTTTCTGGTTAACCAAAATCTATATGATAGGATCCTAACCATAAAACTGGTTAACCAAGAAAAGGAACTACAATGGAGACTATGATCGACCCTGAGTTGCTGAAGCTGTAGATGCATGATTGAATTAATCGCACACCTAACCGGACAGAGCTCGACGCAAGCAAGCAATGGAGACTATGGGTAGTGTTCAGCGTTGATGAGCCGAGGGTTGGGAATGGAGTTCCGAGTTGAGGGTTGACCATGGGGAAACCCGACAAAGCTGACGATAGCTGCATTAGACGTTTTGGACCCAGAAGCCCAAAGGGTCCAAGTATCATTATGGTAGGGTATTTTGAGGTCTAAGTATATACCATAATGATACTTGGACCCTTTGGGAAGGAAGATTGAGCTAAAGTCAGACACCTGTTTGCTTCGTCTTTACACTCAGAGAACGTTGCAAGTTCCCTTGAACCTCGCACCTGAAGGTCCGAAACCGCTTCAATTGCGCGGGGTCCCGTTGGTTGGTGTGTGTGTGTGTGTGTGTGCTTGCACATAGGGGAGTGGATGTATGTGGACGTGTTCAGGGTGGTTGGAGGTTGTCTTGTAATTAGTGAGTTGGACAAAAACTGCAGTGTTAAAGGTAAGCCCTAAACCTAAACCGTCGGGGCCACCATTCTCTAGCGGCTCGATTTTGAGGGACCCCCAATCCGCAGAAATGAAAGCGATTGAAGCCTACGCTTCCTTACAGCATCGTCTGCAGGAGTTTATGTCCAGGTGCGCCGCTTTAAACGGACCTTACGCGCAGGGGCTTATGCTTAGGTGAAGTTTCTTCTGGGGCTCAGAAGAAGCTTGAAGGTTTTTTTCCAACAAGCACCTTGCCCTAAACCCTAAACCCTAATGTTTCGGTGCTATGTTCCCGAAGTCCCGAGATCTTTCGGGCCTATTGGACTGATCTTTTCAGTCCAGGTTGATGTTCAGAGCATTCTTGCTGTTGTTATTATTCTTCCTGCTGTTGTTATTGTTGTTGTGGTTGTTGTCGTTGTTGTTATTGCCAGTATGCCGGTTGTGGTTGTTGTTGTCGACGTTGTTATTGTCATTATTATTCTTGTTGTTGTCGTTGTTACTGTTGTTGGTCTTCTGCACGGTTCTATAGAGGGTCTGACGGAGCCGAGTGACTTGGAGCCTTGTTGAAGTCTCATGCTCTGGATCGCCCCATGTTGTAATTGGCCATGATCTTTCGGTTTCGGTACCATTCACGCTTTGAGCTTCAAGCCGTGGTGTTTTCTTCGTGCATAGTCAGATCCCCACAAGTCCGTTGGGTCGGAAGCATCAAGCTCCGAGTCGTGAGGCTAACACCTGTTTTGTGATCTTCTACTAGTGCTCTTCTCGAAGACCATGTGCACGCCGGGTCGCTTCCCAGAAATTTGCGCTACTTGCAAGGAGCTGAGCTGTTTAGCAGATCTTGGTTGCGCGGACCCGAAACCTATATAGACCCAAATTTTGTAGTGCATCTCCTAAACGCTGCTTTCCACCAAGGTAACATGGATGATGTGGAGACGACAAGCAACCGAAGCAGCTGTCAGCAGGCATAGGAATTTTGGGCTTCAGAGTTTAGAGTTGGGATTTTATTTTCTGGGAGGTCCCGCTTTCCCAGAGGGGCGCTGCGGTTCAAATCGAAATATAATAGGAGGTTGAACAGCTAGACTAATCTGTTAGGACATATTCTGGTATTATAAAAGCATAGTAGGGCGACAAGGCGATGACATCATTTTGCTACATGGGTAGTTCTCAAAATTGCTGTTGATGTATTTGGCGGGTCCCTTTAGTAAGAGTGCCGTAGTAAAAAGGACCGACAAAGGGACCCTAATTTGGAGACCTACCCTTATAGTACCCTTTTGGAAATCATTTAGAAACTCTTATAGATCACTTTGAGGAGCCCCAAGCAAGGACCTGAATTCAGAGAACTACCCCCAAAGGGTCCTATGTACTGTTATGGGGGATACTTCCCTGGATCATAATAGTGATTCCTAAAAAAGAAACCCTACATTCTACCATACAGGTACTTAGGACCCTTTGGGACACACATGGCCTGTTCGACGCCTGAAGTAAACATCCAGTCTGGACCAGAGCCCCAAACTTCCCCGCAAGACGGTTTGGGCTCTGTAGCATCGGAGGCTTCAAAAGGTGGGATGAAGGTGGGTAGGATCAAGGATCCCTTATATAAGGATTCTCATTTGGGAATATCCCACCTACCTTCATCCCACCTTTTGAGGCCTCCGATAGCAGAGATGACATCGGAGCACTGCCAAACCGGAGTCTAGGGCTTGGGAGTTTTTTTAGGGCGGAGGAGTCTAGGGTTGAGGATCGATTTCAACCCTAACTCCCCTAACTCCTAAACCCTACAACTCCTCAACCCCAAACTCCTCCGTAAACCCCTGACCCAAATTCCTGTTGGGTCCACAATACCCGCGCAACATCGAAGCTTGAATAGTTACTCGCAGTACCCTTTTTAGGGCTCCTCAGTATTGTCACGGTACAATGTATTATGCCCTCTTCTTATTGTTTAATGCCGGTGCTATTGTGGTAACCACGGCGAACATTCTGGCGAGATCGAAGCGAATAATTCTTTGATATGGCCTCCAACCCGAGAAGCCTATATGCAGTTTGATGTTGCGGGACCATAATAACATGAAATCCTACCTATAGTATCCATTGTAGTTCCTTTTCTTGGTTAACCAAAATCCCTATTATAGGATCCTAACCATAAAACTGGTTAACCAAAAAAAGGAACTAAAATGGAGACTATAGGTAGTTCCAAACCAGTCTCCAGGTTAACGGCATGGGCTAGTGAAGCCTCACTGCTGAAGGCAGACTGGACTAGACCCAACATTTGAGTTGGGCACCCTAAAAACCGAACCCTAAGTCCTTACCCCTAACCCGCCAACCCTA